AGTTTTGGCTGAGGAACCGAACATCCTGGTATCATATGTATCTATTAAGGATGCTTGAACTCACTTAAGAAAGTATTCTCTAAATAACACTACAGACAAAACTTTGCCATCCAAACTGAATTCCAGTTGATTTGTTAGCTGTTCTTCTCCAATGAGTGAAAGAGAGATCCCAGATACATGTATTATAGACAAAGCTACTAAAGCCTCATATATAAAGTTGAATAAACTGAAATCCTGCTTTGTGAGTTCAAATCTCTGCCTTCAAACAGCACTGACAGTGGCAGCTCATCTGAAACAGATTCTTTAGAAACCTATGATGAGCTAAAACTCTTGATTCTTGTTTTCCAGATAAAAACTGCACTACTGAAAACACAGTGTTGAAAACATAGATACATTTCCAAACTTGTCTGTTCATCTATTTCATTGCTTTTTTTTTTGCTTTTTTTTTCCCCTGAAGTAGAGAATTTGATGAATGCAGTCACTTGTGAATACTTTAAAATATTTTAAGTATTTTGTGACAAACCACACTGACATGTAATGGCTTAGACAAGTAATGTGTTGTGCATCATTAAACAAAGTAATTGATTATTCTGAATAGTTTAAGAACATAGCTATAATGTAATTTAAAATGTGTTTCTTTGTCTTTTCTCAATACCACTAGTTAATAAAACTGATCTTCATATACTTACATATACATAAAAGCGAAAAAGCAAGGGCTTTCTAAATAACTCTGTTGCTGTTCTTTCTGAGGGGTTGCTTTTGGTTTTATATTGGTAGTACTGACTCCAGTTTTAATGGTTGCCATTTCCCTGCTTTCCTGCTTTTCTGTGAAGGATGGAGAAAAGACAGGGTTGGAAGGAGCAATAAAATATTGGGGGGGGGGGGGGGGGGGGGGGGGAGGGAGGTTATTGATATATTTCTTTAAGGTCTACTTTTCAGCTCCTAGCATGGAGAAATTCTATTATACAACACATATGAATGCTGTAATAACTAAAGGAAACTAAGAAACCAGAACTGTTAAAAATACTGTCCCTGAATCTTGCCTGGACCTTGTTGCTATGTCTATAGTACTAATAAAAAGGATGAGGCCACATGGCACGTGATCAGGTCTTACCAGGACACCATCTCCCATACAGTGTGATTTACCAGCACATAACCTCCTGTGCCTTTAGTCCTTCCTAAAGCACTATAAGACTATGTTTAGGTTCTGTCTAGGAAATACCACCAGACAGAGACTGTTCTCTTCTAGGCAGTAAGGATGAGGCCATCGTGTGTTGGAATGAGAAATGATTTTAGCTTTATAGGTATGTTTGCCAGTGCCAGCAGAGCCAGCAGACAACACCTTGTCCTTTCTATTTATTCATTTAGCTGTAGCCTCGAGGTTCACTCGAGGTTATTGGTAGCCAGAGGATAGCAAAATAAAACAGAATTGTTTTACTGGGAGAGCTTGTGACTTCTGTTTGTTACCTGAGATTCCTCTTAATGTCACAGACAGGCCTAAAGGAGGAAATGGGTCTGTCCTAGCAAAGGGGGAGGATAAACTTCTCAGTGCAAGAATCAAAGTTACAAAAGCCATAAACAAGCAAACAAAAATTGTAAAAGGCAAATTTAGAACATGCTTCAAAATAACTCCTTAAAGTCTGTTCTTTGCTATCCATAAGGATTTCCCTAATGTGTATCTTAGCCATAAAAATGAGGAAGCGATTCAGCTACAGCCCATCCTGGAGTATTGCCTTTTGGAATCGTTTCCAAAGTTCCCTAGGGACTGAAAACACTCCCATTTCTCCCAAGCCTTCACAGTCCTGCAGCCTTGAGCAATTTTACTTCCCTTTGCTACAAATGTATCCTCTCTTCCTTTTTTTGTCTGTTAATTCAGAGCAAATTCAGCAAGCAGACCTCATCCTACTACTTTCAGGGAAAATGTTTGATTGCTACTGTGCTTGTTGCTTCTAGAGTAAGTGACCTTCTAGTTAACAAAACTAACAAAACTGTTTTCAATACTCATATAATGTTTTGTAACAGTACAGAAAGGATGTAAAACTGTTGGCGAGTGTCCAGAGGAGGGCTACAAAGACGGTGAATGGCCTAGAGGGGAAGACGTATGAGGAGCGAGTGGCTGAGGTCACTTGGCCTGTTCAGCCTGGCAAAAAGGAGGCTGACGGGAGACCTCATCGCGACCTGTGTGGTGCCGGGAGTTGGGATCGATGATCCTTATGGGTCCCTTCCAACTCAGGATATTCTATGATTCTATATATTTTACATACATATATATATACATGTATATACGTTACCAAACTGACATCTTTAACTTTTGTTTAAATTTTCACAGCCCAAACTCTGAAGAAGGTGTGCAAAGCAACGCGTCTTCTTGCACAGCTTCTTTCCTTCTTATGCACTCACATTTCCCTTTGAAACACTGTAACTGCTGTCATGCAATTAGTAAGCAGCTGGGTTATACACCTGCATCCAACACCTGGAAAATGTTCCTGGGTTCTTCGATATAGACAAGTTCATAATGTGAACAACACAAATTATGTTGACAATATGGGTGAAAAACTGGACATTTTAGAATGCTGTGTCTCCTCTAGCATACCTTTTGTCAGTTTCTGATCTGCCATTGCGGTAACAGCAAAAAAAATCAACAGCATAAGCATAAATTTTAATATGAAACTTTGATATCTCTACTGATGTTAAGGTTGTTCACTGAGCACCAGAAATAATGAAACCTGGAAAGGAAGTCAATGCACCTTTATTAGACACCATACACCCAAATTGCATGAGTTAGTGGAAGCAATCTTTATAAAACAAGTGCTTAAGTTTCCTGGATAGTCAACAGTAAGAGTTTGTTTCATCTGAAGACCTCAAGAGGGTGATTCTACCTGCTTCGGTTTAACAAAGTTAAACTAATTGGATTTCCTTGCGGTATCTTCAAGAAAATCTAGCCTTCTTCATTGAGTTCACAAGGAACCTGGGTGCCCTCAGAGCAGCTCAAGTAGTTTACAAGATGGGATTAATCATACCTAATTCAAACTGTTTAAAAGCTGATTGTTTAATCTAAGCTTATTGCTTAGTTTTCAACTATGATCAACAGCAGAGGTAAGTCTTTCCAGAGGATAATTCATCTCATCCTCTGGAGATGCCCATTAGCTGCACTGACTGCAGATACCCTACTGTCAAGTAAAAGAGCATCAGGGAATGAGCTCAAACACTGGATACCTGCTTATTCACAGTACATAATTGCTTACTGCCTTCGTGGCAGTGCCTTGGATTGTTACAACTTGTTTTCTCCTAGCCAAATCCATTGTATAAGATGCACATGCAATTAATGATATTGAAGTTGTTCAATGAGCATCAGATTAATTAAAATCTAAAGCAGAACTCGGTCCATCTCTATTACACCTAATTTAATATGTCTGCAGAAACAGTCCTGCTCATAGGAGTAGCTGTTGCCTGGAGGGCTGTTGGTGCTATTAGTCACTGCTATTCGGTGCTGTTTGTGTTCAGAGCTTCATTCAGCACAACAGATGTGGCCTATATGTCCACATATAGCTAATGTTTAGTTGGCTAGTGATGTTGAGGTAACTCCAATCCCAGTTATGGGTGGAGATAAGATGTCTAAGTCAGGTATATTGAATTTGCTTACTCATCTTTGGACAAGTGACCTTCACCTGGCAGTGGATTGGGACCCCTTACCAATTGGGTAAAGTTGTGTTCATTACTTTTTCTTTAGCAGTGGTACATACGTCTCCCATCATATGTACATTCCCCGGCCTTTTTCATAGGCTGAATTAATTAATACTGAAGCCTTTCTTTTAATAAGACTGATATGGTTTTTCCTTTCCAAGTACTTATTCTTATGAAACTTGTGAGAACTTTAGTATTTTTGGCACTTAGAGCTCTACTAGAGGTGACTGAAATTAAGCTGTGCGTTTGAAAGTTAGTAGCATACACAACCATGCTCACACAGTGAGTGCGGTCACAGAAGTCTTGTCTCCATAGGAGATCATTGAAAGTTTTTACCAATATTCAATAAAGGAAATAGCAATAAAAATACATGCTAGTATTGCAAATGTTATATCACTAGGGTGACATAAACATTCATGTTCATTTTGGAAACTTTATAAAATATTAGTTATGTAACTTTTAAGTGACAGTAGTCAAGAAAGTATGGTATTTTCTTGGGAATAGTGAATTTCTTTCTAGCATTATCTTCTTCTTGACAACAATTTTTAGATATTTGTGAAAAAATAAGCATTCTTTCAAGATGTGTCTAGGCTTTTATGAGAACATATATACAGCTGGCCTAATACTAATGTACTCATTTATATCAGTGTTTTTATAGACTGTTTATAAGGAAAAATGAAGAAAAATGATTGGAATAACAAAGTATGTTAAACATACAGAAAGGTATCAAAAAATATATAATATAGTTTTCCAAAAGTTACCATCTGCCACCTCTGCCTTCAGAGTCACATGACCGGTCATTTTGAAGGTCTTCTACATATAATCACTTAGGTTAAGTATTTGCGAATTATTTCAAATGAGAGTCCAACATGGTGATAGTGGACCCAAACAGCAGTAAATTGCAAATGAAAGCTCCATAAATATGGTTGTTTCACATATCACAAAATAACGCAAAAGGCCTGAAATGAGCTTTTCTCCCAGCTTAACATATTCTGAGGTTACTGTGAGATCTATTTGAGACCTTTCAACTTCAGGTAGTGTCATTTTTACCGTTTCATAAGACCAAAGACCAGATGTTGTAACCAGCTGGAATCAGCAATATCCTACCATAAAAAAAAAAAAAATATTAAGAATTTTCTGTTGTTTCTATTCTCTCCCATAAAAATTCTGTCTAAAACAATTCACTTTAACTTTTCCTACTTTCAGTTTATGGCAGTTTATGTTTTTTTTTCTATGCTGTCCTTTATGTTTGCAATAAACAAGCATGTATCACTGAAATATTTCCTTAAAACAAACTTTTATGTCTTTCAGCAGGTATCCATGTTGGAATCAAATTTAAAAAAAGATGCATACCAATTTTAAACTTGGTCTTTAAACTGAACAGCTGGGAAATTTTCTGTTTGGACTATGTTATCTGTCTAATTGAACTGATTTCTGAGCTCTGCAGATTGTGGCAAAAGGTGCCCTACAGCAAGATGGCATTTCTAATTGACTCATCTGAACTGCAGCATTACTCCTGTCTTTCTTCTGATTGGGTATGGTAAGTACATCATGATGCTTATGGTCTTCAGGGAGGGTGGATCACCTTCCTAAATTTAAGATGTTATGTGAATTATGAGTTCTGAAAGTGTCCTTTACATACAAGCAACCACCAACTGAATTTATTCCTGACATGGTCTGTTACTATGAAGACATTAGGGATGCTATTTTAAGTCACATGTGCAAGCTGCCTGGAGACTATAATCGGGTTGAATAATCAGGTGGCATGGCAAATTTGGACTGTTGTATGGTACATTGAGTCCACTGTTTTAGTATTCAACTCTAATATTTTTTACTTTCTAAGGAATAAAGTCCTTTTTCTCTTTATTTGCATTTAAATTCAGTGAACCTAGAAAAGCAGGCATACAGTTGCACTAAACCCATCAGTTATGTGCAAACACTAGATATAAGATTAAAACTTGTTACCAGGGGCTCCTATAAGCATTATTATACTGCATCTGTTTTTATTTCAGAGCCTTGAATAGACAGAATGAAGTCTATGTTGCTAATCGTTTGTTGGGTTGTGCCTCATTTGCTAGTTTTCCCTTTCCAAAATATTGCTTGCATATTTTGTAGTCCATGATTATGCAGAAACAAAACCACAGATGTTTATATTACTGAGGTTTCTTTCTTCTAACTACATACTCTCTTAAACATGTCCCATGAAAAATCTATGTCTCACCCATTCATTTCATAATCCTGTCAGAGATATTCTGAAGCAGAGTTTTATGGTCTTTTTGTGATTCTCCACAATCTCTTTGCCTCCCATTTTTCATTTCTTTCCTTCCTTCATGTCTCCTTCTGTCTCTTTGGTATGTCTGACTGCCGGCAGCACTGTCAAGTCATCCATCCACTTCTGTTGCTGTGTTTCAGATTCACTGGAGTGATTATCCAGTGGCCAAATGCTGGCTTGATGTTCCTCACAATGTCAAACTTGTACCCAATGGCACAGTTATACCAATGGTAGGTTCTTTGGAACAAAAGCATGTTGCCATTCATCATAGGCACAATAGGAAGACATGACATTTGTTTTGCTTTCCATCTATTGAAAATATTTCTGGAGAGAAAGGGGGTTAGTAAAGATAAGCAATGGCAGTCTAATTTCTGAGGCTGGAATTAACATGGTCCAGCTGTAACAAACTAAATCTGTATCTGGCTGATACTAGTGATCCAGGCTGGTTGCTGTGGAGAAACAGGAATGTCTAAGGGTGATGCATGCCAGTTATCCTAAACAGCTAGCTTAGAAAACAAGTCATCCATTTAAGAGACCATACATCACTAACTATAAAAGGAACTAGCTTATAACTCCAGTTGCATCCACAACCTTAAAATGATGTTCTGCTTCAAGAACCAGTGAAAGAAAGGCTAATTATTTGAGACATCTTCTTGGGGAGGAAAAAAAAACAAAAAACACACACACACAAAAAAAAAGTAACAGGAATTTCAGGTTACATTGACAGCAAAAGGAAGCTGGTTTTATCAGATCATCACAGAACTCATGGATCTCTTACTGAGTTAAGAAGTTAAGAAAGCATGTTTTATCACTATCCAGAAGCTGCATAGGGTGAGAGCAATGATAGAGCTATACTGACCAGACACTACTGCATTATTTAAGGGGCTTGAGATAACAGGGAGTGTATTTAAACACACTTTTCTTATAATGTATTGTTTGCTAAGGACATAGCCATACATAGCTAAGGACATGGTTGCATTATATAAATATTGTTGTTCTTTTCATCAGAGCTGTATTGTTCTCTTAATTTTCAAAATTGTCTTGTAATACATTTTTCTTTCTCTAGTCTGAACAGCATATCTGAAAGAAGCGAAAGGAGTAGAAGTTGGGAAAATCACAGCTACCCTCATCTGATGGTAAGATTTCAACTTTGCCTTTTTTTTTTTTTTTTTTTTTTTTGTAATATTGTGTATGGTAATTATAAAGAAAGTATCTTCTTTTTATAGGGGTAAGATTTTATGCCCCACCATTTTTTTCAATATGGACAGTTTCTACCAAGTTATATCATATCACATCTTCACCATCATCGTACAAGCTACAAAACTACATATTTCCTCGCATTACCACTTCCAGTGGAATTATCTGCTCACATCAGCATACAGACCATATTCCACAACTTATCATAAAGCTATCAATGTCAAGGTACCAGAAGATCAGTATTTCTGTCTCTGCTCCTACCTTGAGCCTCTTTATATTCTTTCTGCAGTAACATTTTGTCTGCGTAGTTCTAGACTGAAAGAACAGCTGCTAAGGTATACTTTGACACAATTTAATATTCCTCTTTGAACTGTAAAATTTTCTCACTTCACTTTGAAGCTCTTCAAAATACTTCTACATTCAGACACTAAGTACACTGAAGTAGAGGTAATAATCCTGTTATTTCAAATTCCAGTTGTAAAACCTGAAGAAAGATCAAGCAGAAATGGGAATTTAAAGAAGTTGGATATTTTATCATATTTAATCAGAGTTCATAACACATTTGTATAGTATATTATATGCCAAGGCATAAAGGAGTGTTGTTCCCCAGGTTTGTGGGAGGAGTTCGAAGACCCATGATATACAAGTTTTTGTGAATGCCTACATGCAGTGTTAACCTTTTAGGAGCAAAATGTGATCAAAAGTACTTGTGGCTTGCAGGGCTGAAAGCTACTTCTGTTAGATTAGATCTTAGTGGGTAATAAGCAGTTATATGGACACACATTAATTTTAGCGGAAAACAGAACTAAGCATCTTGCCAGTGTGTGATACATCTCATTTATGTATCTACAGTATCTAAACATGAGCCAGTTAGCATAGACTTCCTTTATAATCAAAGGAAAGGAAAAGGCACTTCTAGGAATTTTTTATATTGACTTTGAGATATAAAAAGTCCAAGCTAAAAGAAACTGTTCTTCTCTAGTGTCTAAAAAGGCAGCCTAGATGACTAGATGAGGTGTAGACACCTCATCTTGTGACTAAGTTCATCTGTGGGTAACAAAGATGGACTTATACTGGCTGACCACCTGACAGTAACTAAACACTAGAATTTTTTCTCAGTTAGTGACTGATGAAGAAATAGGATGGACTTCATGTTAGCTCTTTGGTTCTTTTTCAGTACAGGAAAGTTTTAACGTTTTCTGTATAGTATGAACATTTGTAGATAATATTTGTGGAAGAAAAAAAAAAAAAAAAGGCATGCAATATAGCACAGTAACTTCACAAGAATATTAGAAGGTAGAGATTAGAAGGTAGAACCCTACAGATTTTAGAGAAATGTAAGATGTATTCTGCACAGGGTAGAACAACACCAGGACAAATATGTGTATATATATATATAAAAATATATATATATATAGGAGTTTAGTAATGGCTACACACACACAAATTTCTAGAAACCACAAACAACAGCAGTTCTCCATGTGAGCAGTAGGATAAAAAATGAGCAGAATCGAATTCACTGAGATCCACATCAAAAAAGTAACTTTGTATGGCAAAGTCTAACATATGCACATCTAACTTTTAGATGTGTGAAATGGAATTGAAGGTATTGAGTAAGACTCCCTTGACATCAGTCAGAAAGTATCATAGAATCGTAGAATCACAAAGGTTGGAAAAGACCTCCAAGATGATCTCATCCAGCCACCACCCTACCACCAGTATTGCCCACTAAACCATGTCCCTAAACACCACAACATGCATTTTTGGACCTCTGACCATGCTTGCAAGAGCTCTGTTTTATTATATCTTGTTACAAGCCAGCAGATAGGATCTTCATGTCAGATATCCAGGATCATTTCTGTGAATCTCACCCCCCAAGGCACAAGCCACACAGGGTCTTTTGTACCAAGCAAAAATGTAGCATGCCAAAAGCCAACATTAACCTCATGAAAATACTTAAACCAGCTGGACACTGGGAAAGCAGTCACAGTTGTTATTGAGAGCCCTCCAGAATTCCAGCCTCACTGTATCCTGGAGGTTCTAAATCCCACATACTCTGAAGCTTTATGGTTTAATTTGTTTTATGTGTCCACTCACTTATATGCAAGGAGAGGTGACGCTGTCTCTTTTCTTCTCAGCTTCTGTGAACAAATGTCAAGAGAAGACAATACATGCTCTGTAAGTGCCATTCCACAATTTAAATGCTAAATATGGAGTAGAATCTGTTTTGCCATCAGTTTATATCAAGTTTATACATTAATGATGGTATAATTTTAGGTAAGTTAAATGTGAGCTCATGCTTGCATAACTAAACTTATTTTTTCACATAAAAGAAATAAAATTCATGACAATTAAGTCACAATCAAATACTGCATCTGTAAAACAGATCTGACATGTACAACCTCCTATTTAGTTTCTAGTAGAGCTACTGCTTGGAAGAAGGAAAAATTCTAGAACACGTAAAGTTTTTATTATTATTACTATTATTATTATTTTAAAACAACTAACTAGTTTTTGTTGCAATTAAAAAAAAAAAAAGTAAAGATATATATATGTTCTTAGAGTATTTTTCCTCTCTCATCCATGTGAATTCTTTCAATTCATTTCACTTGTATATGTAGATTTGACACTGCATATTTATAACTAGGAATCTCTATATTTTCAGGGTGCAGCAAAGTATTTGCTAGATCTTCTTTGGCAATATCTGTAATTGTTTTATGATTAATGTCAGTTAATAGCCCCTCCATAAACAAAGAAACAGGTTTCATACATAAGAAAGAAATAAAAACAAAACCAAACAAACTAAAAAATCTTATCTGAGCTTGCTGATAGTCAGATATTGTTGATATCAATGCCTAAGCCATTTGCACTCCTGTTTTATCCATACAAAAGGGGACAGTTTTGAATGTTCCTGGAGTCATCTGGGAGCAACTTAGAGAACTGCACACATTTTGATATTATATCAGCATTTGAGCATATAAACTATGCCTTCAGTTTCTCAAATAGTTCCTCATAACTGAAGATGTGAATCTCACTGTTTGCCTTTTCTTTTAACCGGATAACTGCACAAAAACAAGATCCAAGTGCTAGTTGGGATGCCTATGTTAATATAACTAATTTTGCTACATAGGTCAGCATTATAAGAATTTATATATAGCATCCAGTGTCTGATGGCATACAATGCTTGAAGTGCTTGAGGGTAATTTTTTTTGTTATTCTTCATCCATTTCCAACTAGGTATAAGGACAGACTACTCAAGCAGCCTGTCCAGCATGTCTGGAAAGCTCAGTCCTTTATGGCACTACTGCCCAGTATCATAATCAGCAGTCTTCCGTTTTGTTTTGTTTTGTTTTCATTTTCAGGATTTTGAGCTATTATCAAATTAGAAATGCATATCTATCTTTTCTATCCCTTAAATCATGATTTATAAGAGTTGAGGCATCAGTACTAACTGAAAAATTGCAGAATTGAAAAGACAAACATCAGTTAAAACCTGAAATCGTACTACAATCCCAAACTATTAAAAAAAATAAATTTCATTCCTCCCTCAAAAAAAAAAAAGAAAAGTAATAAAATAAAATATAATTACAGTATCATATTACAATGTAATATAATTTTGTTATTTACATTACAGCATATATGGCTTCAAGTTGTATTCTGCATGCAGGAAAGCTAAAACTTTTAAAAATGAATGTCAAACTTACATATGATTGAAGAAGCACCTAAAAACCTCCCCTTTCTCCCTCCCCCCCCTCCAAAAAAGGGTATTTTATAAGACATGGAATCAAATAATGAGATAGAATACTATATAAATTTCAAATTCAGCTCCACTTAGCAGCAGTTAATAATTGGAGAACAGTTAATTCTCAGAAACACAATCTGAGAACACAGGTAATTTAAAGAAATGCCGTAAGTAAGCTCATACAGCAACTTACATGCATTTCATAAGAGAAGGTAAAACAGAGTTCGTGTAAACAAAAATGTAGTAACAAAGTAATTAAATCTTATATATGGGAAATTAATTAAAATATATTTGAAAATGTTGAAAAGCTTGAAAAGTACAGGGTTGTTCATACTAAAAAATGAGGATTTCAAAGTAAACAAGGTGAAAATACCAAGAGAAGCTAGCAGCATCAACAAAAAGAGCTAAAGATGATAAGACAGTATATACTTTTTTTTTTTTTTTTTTTTTTTTTTTTTTGGATGTGAGGAGAAATGGTATAAATAACAGAACTCTGATAGATAATTTTGTTCATTGACTTTTAAGGTTAGGAACTTGATTTTAACCTCTATGCTTGCAATGAGTGTAGCAATTATTTGTTCTGCAGAATATTTGTTATAAAACAATGGGGAAGCAGATGCCGTTTTTGAGCTCAAGTGAGCTAAAATGTCAGGTAAATAGCCTAATGGTAAAGGTCAAAACTTTTGAATTAACAAGAAAAAATATCTGCTTACAAATATGTATATTCGCTTATATACATATACGTACAGAGGTTTATATGCAAGTGAAAGAAAAAGAAAAAAACACTATTAGAACTTTCTAGGGTATAAGGAACTTCAAGCCAACACTGTCATGATATAATGAGTAGTATCTTTAAATCTAAATATATTTAAACATGTATATGCACACACATAATTTCCTGAATAGATTATACTTTGGGATTTGTTTTCCATAAAGCTACATTATGGCCATTAGAAAAAAGTCCACTCAATGATCATTTTTTCTCAGAGAACAGTAGAGACTGATGTCCTAGTGTACGTAAACGTCTATGTTTGCTGTTAATTTCAATTGTAAGTATTTGTGTTAGAGACCCATAAATGCTGTTGTTCTGGATCATCTAGGGCATCTAGACCGGTCTATTTTCCTTCAATAGCTGACAACAGATGTTGTTATGTCTTGCAACAGATGTTGTATTTCCTGTGCATTAAAGGAC